CAGAATCCCCAGTCGATTGAGGAACGAGAGAAGTTTGATCGTCTGGCTGACCGCTGCCAAAAATTTGCACAAGGCCATCGCGAGAGCAGCTGACAAAACGGCAGAAACGGTATTTGATTTATGTAGTCCCACTGGTGGTCTGTCGAACACATATTACAAGAAACAAAATCATGTGTATCTTGAGATTTTTTTTTTTTGCTCTTCATATAGTGAAGGGAAATCTAAATGCAATTTGTTAGGCAAAACATTTAATTTATGTAATTTATTAGATTCTCCCTGTAGAGAATGTTTGAGAAGATCACATTTTTAACAATAATTTGTTGAATATAAATTTTTCAAAAAGACCACATTTTGAACAATAATTTTTACTTAGATTTTTCGAATTGTTCAAGAAGACCACATTTTCAACAATACTTTTTAGACTAGAGATACATATTTAAAAAATGAGACCACATCTTCAACAAGAATGTTTCACAATGCAGGTATTTTTACTTTGAATTTTTGAAGCGTTCAATAAGACCACATTGAAATAAATTATTTTCGAATATAATTTTTAAAGTAGATACCATTTTTAAAAATACTTTTTCGAGTAGATCTTTTTGAAAAATAAGACCATACTTTTAACAATACATCTTTGAATAGATTTTGATTGAATTTAATTTTTTGAATCGCCCAAGAAGACAGGCATTTTTGAAAAAATAAGTTTTTGAACATAAATTGTTCAAGAAGACCACATTTTCATCAATACTTTTTTGGCTATAGAAATTGTTCAAGAGGACCTCATTTTTATCAATAATATTTCGACGGATAGAAAATATCAGAGGCTTTTTCTTCCAGGTTCGAATCAAAGAAATCGTGAAAAAAGCAGAATTCAACGCCATGAGAACCAGAGAAGCAATGACTCCTCAACGCAAGAACCTTTTGGAACTTCTGAGGAACTTCTCCAAGCACTTGGATGGACCAAATGCCACCAGAGCATAGTAAATATCTTTGAAATCACATACTCGTATGCATTCTTTGCAACTATCTCAATTAATTTCTTCAATGTCTTCGTTTGTTTTCAGTATCTCGTCTCACGAAGCCTTCTGGAACAAACGCTTCCAAGAGCAGGAGCAGGGCCTGAAAAAGCGACTCTCTCACGAATATCCGCACCCGAAGCTTCAGAATTGATGTGTTTAGCTGTGTTTATATGTCATATGCGAGCCATAAACGAAATACCTCTTGGAAAGGACACGTTAAAGAGTTTTTTCTTCCTTTGCATCATTAAATAAACACTGGGTAACGAATCAAATGAATAGACAATATTTCCGGAGGTGAATTCCTCTCCAAAATTCGAGAGGAAAAACTACGTGATCAACTTAACGGGAGTCAAAAATTAGAATGAATACGTTAACTTCAATTTAATTACGTTGTTGTGTATACAGTATTTACAAGTAGAAGTTTCCTTCCCATTCCTTAAAGTTTGTGTATCTCCTTTATAGGGGATAGTAGTGAATTAACACAAGATTCGAGCAGAGTAGTATTTATTTATTAACAGTCATAAAACCACTCAACACAAGACCTTGGAGAATTCCTACTGAGGATCTCTCTACACTGGTCAGCGCACTAATGCCCAATTTTGGGAAGATGCTACTGGAGTTTATATGCTCCAGAAAATTGGTACACAATATCAGAGTACCCAGAAGGGTACTTCTTAATTGAGGGACAGATCCGGGAGGGGAGGATGGAGTGCAAGGCTGCGTCCTTCAACAAAGGTCAATATAACAAAATAATATATTATTCAATATATTTTAACCTTGAGGATTGCACTGTGAGGAAGAGTAATTAATCACTTCCCTTTTCTTTTGTTTCTCACCTGAGTTATATATTATTTTCCCTGACTCAATTCAGAGTTGTTCTTTTTGTAAGACTCTTTTCTGCTCACAATTATCATTGAGTAATTTCCCAATGATAACAACGTAAATTGTATTAAACTGAATGACTACCTTAGATTCCCAGAAAAAGAAGAAATGCACCATATATCTAAGTGCTAGGCTTAATATAGTCGATTATAAAAGAATCTTTTACAAAATTTTGAGAATCAAATGTAATATGAAACTTGCTTCTACATAAACGTAGAGCTCTCAAACGCTCAATGCCTCAACAATACGAATACTGTATTTCCCCCTTTTTGTCTGTCATTTCCCACAGAATATTCTGAAAGTTTTTGGTTTAGATAAATAAAACTATTGAAAACAATTTTTCCAAAGAGTTTCCAGCTTTTAGAAAATTCACCTGAGAACATTTGCTCAACTGGTCGCTTTATCTCTTATAGGATTTTTTGCGACACAAATTTTATCCCTTTCAAGACGGAGTCAATGAGTTCTCGGGCATGAAACTCGATTCATTGAATAAGTGTACATCTTATCTTTCCTGTGCACTGGTGATGGAAATCTTGACCAAGAGATTGTAAGGGATGAAGGAGTTGTTGCCATGCAGTCAACAGCAGAGAATAGGTCAAAAGTTGGCTCTTGGAGGCAAGACTTAGTTTTCTTTCTAGTTTAATGCTATCGCACAAACAAAAGCAGCTGTGTTTGAAATTGTTTTCGATTTTCAAAGTCAAAACTAGGCAAACAAACAAAGTTAAATTCCAACTATAGAATTGAATTTTATAGGAACTGTTTGAACCGGTGTTCCCCAAACCTCTGGTCTACGTACTGGTGCTGGTCCATGGGAAATGTTCTTCAACATAGTGCATTTATCAAAAGAAGCAATGAAGTCTTATCTTTATCAGAACTTTCAGAAAGACAATGATAGTTGAAATCATTGAATGAAAAATAAAAGCTGGCTTTTCTCCAAATAGCACTTCAGAAACATTTTCACCTGCTGAAATAAACTTTTTAAAGTTTCATTCTGAGGAATCTTATTTCAAGCCGACGTTGCCAATTTTAGAAAGATATTCCACCATTACTGCATCATTGGTTCTGAACTTGATTTTGCAAAACAGCAGAAACGTTTCAAATACTGTACCTGCCTTGAAGTCTTCAAAGCAAAACTTTTTTGAGTCTGCAAAACTTTTATGAAAATTTGCGAGTCTGCATATAGAAGTATTTTAATGAAATTTGCCAATCCACAGGCCCAAAAAGGTTGACAAACACTGGTTTAAACTACAGTTGAACCTTGCTAAGTCAAACCTCCCAAAGTCAAGTACTTCCTAACTTGAATTTTTCTCTAGACCTGCAGTTTTCTCTCAAACCTCTGTAAGTCAAATTTTCTGAAGCCTTATGGTTATTATTTCCTTGAAATATGAAAGAGAGAATCACTAACCCTTGGACGGCAGAGGGTTCTTTCCCATAGCAGGATGAAATCGGATTATTTTCGTATGCTCCCTCATTTTAAGTTTTTAGAAGGTCAGAAAAACCCTTCCAGGTGGGCTGAGGCAAAGTCAGGATTAATCCAAGAAAAGCCAGTAGTCCCTGAGCATTTTTTTAATTTTCTGGAAAAATTTTTCTGTCCCCAGGGAAAAAAATGTCAGGATTTTTCCGGACTTTGCCCTTCATGGGTGTAGTCCAAAAGCCCCCCCTGCCAAAAGCCCCCCCTAGGTCAAAAGCCCCCCCGGAAAGCCCCCCTGCCTAAAGCCCCCCTAGGTCAAAAGCCCCCCCTACCAAAAGCCCCCCCT